TGGAGTCTGGTTTCGCAGAAAAGAGTGATGGTCGAGCGTTGGCCCTCTGCCAGGATACAGCGGGGAATTTCACCCATTTGGTCCTGTCGAGCCCTCTGCTGATATGCAGCGTTTTATTTCGTCGTGCTTAGTGGACTTGTGAACTTCGAAAGTCAAATGTTACCATAACAGGATATAAGTATGTATAGTGATATATGTATGCAAAAACTAAACGGATAGATATTAAAAGTCTACCTAACTGCACCAGAAGCGTGGACCATAATTATATCTAGCTGTCATGCAGACCCTTCTATCAATCTGTGCGAAGACGCTTCTTGGCATTCCCGTTCGCATGGCCGTTCGCATGACCGTTGGTGGCGGCATCATCCACTGTCGAGAAATAGTCCATGGATCCTTTGGGGTCCGGCTTGATGGTTTTATCACCCTCAGTCCAGCCCAAAGGGCAAACCTCTCCATGTTCCTCCTGCAAAAGATGCAGTGAAACGTTACAAATACAAAGAAAAAATCATACCACAAATTGGAAGGCCTTGAGAAGACGGATAGTTTCATCCACAGATCGACCGACGGGCAGATCATTAATGGTGATTTGCCTATTTAAAAGCGTCGGCTACCAAACTAGTCTAGGATTTACAGTAACCCACCTGACGACACCCTTGGGGTCAATGATGAACAAACCACGCAGGGCAATGCCTTCCTCTTCAATGAGGACACCATAATCCTTGGATATTGTCATGTTCCTGTCCGCAATTAAAGGCAACTTGAGGTCAGGTCCAATGCCGCCCTGCTTCCTCGGTTGCTGCGCCCATGCAAAGTGGGAATACTGGGAATCCGTGGAAACGCCTATAAAACCATCAGAACGCGTCCAATAGACCACAAAAATAATCCCGAACTAACCGAGAACGGATGCATTCAGCGCTTTGAATTGAGGAAGCGCATCATTGAAAGCCAAGATCTCAGTTGGGCAAACGAACGTGAAATCCCTATTAGCGTGACGGCAAGAATGGTAAGAACACGATACTCGAGGAGAAAGGCCATTCCTTACATTGGATAGAAGAAAAGAATCACCCTTGCAGATAATGCTAATGTTAGCCACCCTTCCTCTCACGAATGTCTAGTGCATAAGACGCGTACCATTGGCCCAGGTATTCGGACAAGGAGACCTCCTTAAACTCACCCTCTACAACTGTGGTAGCTGTGAAGGCTGGTGCTGGGCGCTGAACGAAGACGGCCATTGTTGCGACGCTGGTTTGCGAATTCAGAAAAGAGGCGAATTACTCAAGTGTGTCACACATGAAGATTTTAAATCCACTTAACCGACGCGTTATGTGTCTTTGTTTGGTTAGTTCATGGACCTGTTTCTTTCTTGAATCATCAAGAAGACTATCATTATATAATTATAATATTATGGACCTAGTTCTGTCTCAAGCATCAGGAAAACTTCGTCGAAACGACAATGAAGTGCGAACCTCCCACTAAGTAGTGACTGACGAGTTCTGATCATGGTACCCTCTTATCATTCCTATCTTTCTCGGTTCCACTTCTAATGCTGAGCAAACAAAGTCCAGGAACCCTCACGTTATTCATAATGAAAAGACCCCAGACTCAACTCGCAGTGACGCAGTCATCACCGAGCAGTATATAACCCTTAACTGCGTATCCTCACTGCCCGTATGCAGACTCCCCCCTCCTCCACTCTTACCCCCGCTACTGTCTTTTCTTCGTTAACGTCTCTCCTTCGTCGCTTGACATGTTGCTGATAATTAAACTTCGTTTGGACATTGTATTATTTGCATCCTAGTGTGTACATGATGAATAAAATGATATGATGGATAACCTTATAGAAGGGCGCACATTGCACAACCGCGAAACGTGTCCGTGACCGACGACCGTAAAATAGAGTGCGCCTTGAGTCGCCAAAGCAGGATGATAGCAGGAAAGTTACAGAAGAATGGAATAAAGTGTGTGTGCAATAAAATGGGTCGAGTTAAAAGAAGGAGGGGCGGGGGTACTCTGGACAAGCAAAATGATGGGCAATAAAGAACACATAACCGCGAAGCTTGCTCAGTGGCCGTAAAATGGGTCAGAGTGTCTTGTAGTAGGTTCAATAGACCGAGGTTTGGGTGGCACCTAGGCAAGCATCATTCACACAGTGTACCCGTCAAGAGAACAAATGCAAGGTGGAGTGGAACGAGTGAGTCGTCAAACTCGCTAGTCACGAGTGCAGTGATAAAGTTGTGTATAGTATGCCGCGGCCACAGACACGGTTCCGACACGCCTCTAATATCTGGTCAATGAGTATTAACAAACGTGCAGGGTGGCACTGGCGTGAATGGTATGGTTATTCGGAACGTTGGTTGCTGCAGTGCGTCACGTATTGTTGAGAATCGCAGGGCTGGTGTCCGTTGCCTGCAGGTTGTGCCACTGAATGTCGAGTGACATGGCGACACTGCGATAGAGCTAAATCGCTGTTAAAAATCGAATAGCGTGAGCAAAAATGTATTCCTTGATGAGTGATACTTCTCAATGCACTGTGAGTATGAATGAAATCACTAGTGTCAATGCCCAGTGACGAGTGAATGTCAATCCTCTGCACCTTGGTCGCCAAGAGCTCATCCTCTCATGATGCCACCTAGAAGTGTCAAGTTCATGTCATAACGGTTGTCATTGTGGTCACCGAACCTGCTCATTGCCGTTCATGGTGGTCGGATATACATGCCATATATATATATCTTCGGGAATAAAGCTTGCAGGTCGGCAGCGCAAACTTATTGATGGAAGCTGTCAACGGATGTTTGCAGTCAGCGTGTTCCAACACTGGACCACATCCTGACCTGCTCGGATTCCTCGGAAAGTTGAATCTTGTAAGATATATTATCGAGCCTGCATGTGTTACAAAGTGTTAATAAAGGAGAGCTAGTACACTAAAAATGCGAGAAGTTAGCGTGACTCGGACAACTTGGAGAAAATCGAATCGACAAAGCTGAGTTAAAAAATGAGGGAAGGGAGGCGTGTGTGGGAGTTAGGATATGTTGAAGCGTTACGATAGCTACGACATTAAGCTGAAGTCAAGGTGTTGAGAAGAGTCTGGGGTCTTTTCGTAGTGAATGACGTGAGGTCCAGATTTGCTTCATAAGCTCGAAGTTCCTATGATCCGGAGAAAGGGACAAAATTTCTGCTCAAAGAGATATGGCCAACACGAACACTTCAAAGATGCCGTTCATTTTCTAATAGTAACACTGATTTGTACCTCTCATTCGAATCTACTCTCCAGATTGTACAAATAAAAGATGAAGCACGAGAGAACCAGATGTAATCATAAGTAGAAATCTTAACTCTGGCGGATAATTTACGACTATCTAAAAGCAAACTCCCTGAACCGACTCACAGAGTCCTGTATACCTGCGCATCGAGGGCTGCTGGCTTGTACGGAGTAGGCTTCTGGCATTAGTTCCTCGAGATGCTAACGGAAGATAAGATCATGAAGTTCAAAGTGGAAACAATGCACAGACTTTGATTCTCCGCTCTGCACCAGGGTGCGTGCGCAAGAATTCCAGACTTGTTGATCCATGCGCCTTTTCATATTGTGCAAGTCGCGTATGCATTCTGTAATGTCGCGCACATAAGTCAGACGATGGAAAACCCAAATTACTCACTCCATAGCAGCCTGGGGGTCAAAACATGACTTTGCAGTGAGCTGCATGCCGATAGTATCGGCTACGTCTCTGACGTCAGCATTTCCATGTTTATAACTGGAAGATACATACCCTCATATTCCTGAGTCCGCGAATTGGGTAGCTCCAAGAGTAACGTACTTATGAGGTTGGTGATTCCAAAATCAAAGCCGAAGACTGTTTGCAGAAGAACTGCTAGCGCTAGGAATACTTTGGAAGACGAATAGCGTTCAGAAGCATGTCGAGCAACTGGTTAAGGAAAATTCAGAATGTACGTGCATATTGTATCATACCATCATACCAACGTGGGCGATTTCTGCCGAATAATTTGAGTTGGGCGGATTATCTTTGGCAGAATCGCGTACCATGTCCAAGGACAGCGGCCAAACCCTGTTCATCCTTGCATATAGGTAAAATACCGGTGAAAACCACGATATTTCCTGTGACCACATATATGTAAAGGTTCGCTTGTAGAGACAGCTGGAGAGCGAACCAAAGGTGGCCATGGCGTTCACAATGGATGGATCATTCACGACAAGTAAATTCCATTCTTTACCTCCACTTTCTGGGGTAGACGACTCCCCAGAAGGTCTTCCAGTGGTGAATGGGTCGTCGCTCCAGAAGTCATCAAGTGCTTCCACTAGAGACCGGCGAGGCTCACTGGAACGCAGGTGGCCAAGATCCGATGATTCAAGAATACGAGTAACAACTCGTTGGACGTGTCGTGTCACAGGATGATTGGAAGGCAGTATCTTGCCTTGGAATTCAGCCAAAAGCTCGTTATATGCCGTCTGTGCAAGCTGAAAGGGTGGGAGGGAATATAAGAATTTGTTTCTTCAGGTTAAGCTTTCTCTTGCCTTTGTCTCATACTTGGGACTGATGTCCATAAATCGCCACCTACCTGTTTCAGGGACTTGTTCTAAACTTGAGGGCTAAAGTGAGACGAGGCATCACAAGTAGTGTGCTGAGCACGTACTGCACAACATAATATGTTCCTCCGACTGCAACAACTGCAATAACAATCTTCATGCGATTGTCTATCAGCTCTCCCGACTGGTGGTGGTGTTTTTCGGATGAAAAGCGCGTATACTGAGCATGCCGAGGGGATGATGTCGAGAGTTGGCGTAAGGGAATTGAACGAAGGCTGGATGTCTGTAGTTGAACCCGTAGGTATTTTCCAACAAGGACCGGGAGGCCCCGAGTACCACGCGATAGCATAGGCGTTGTTGTCGTCCACATACGAGCAGGGAACATCCTAAGCGAGAAACCCAAGTCCATCGTCTAAAGGGGTTAACGGCAGGTATAATTAACAAGGTTCCTTCCAGTTAATCGGATATGGTGTAATGGTTAACATTACCGCCTCTCATCAGTGGGTTCGCGGTAGCTCGGGGTTCGATTCCCCGTATCCGAATTTTTTGCAATTTCTATTATGTTCAGTCCAGTCCAGACCCAAAATCGTTAATCTCGGTCAAACTCCTAATTGTTTCCGAACCTGTTGTTTCGTATGCAACTTACTTTTTCTCTTAAAGTTACGTTGGAAGCTTAGAATCCTCATCCTCACACAATCCCTGGATGTCACTCTTACGAAGTACTAAATGTTATGTTAGTGCATGAACCTGCATCAATTTATGACTCGTCGACATGGTCCCGCTCAAAATCTCATCATTCTAAAAGTTGCGCCTCGGAGCCCATGGGGGATGGTAGCACCCCGAGGGACTCGCCCGAGAGCGATAGATATCCAAGCAATAGTATCTCGAAGTCTACGAAAGTAAGTAACGGCGGCCGCCGCCCCCACACTGTGCTAGCTCCGAGATTATCCCCGATTTGTGTACCACTTGTTGATTTTACTTCTACCGAAGACTTTGAATCCAGATTATTTAACCAGATACGCGTGGAGCATGTGCAGCAAATTGGGAGACTGTCGTTTCTGAAGATCTTTGACTGTACGTGTCCTTGAAGGTAGTATCCATTTCGATTAAATTTCGTCTCTTCAGGTTTGGTTGGCTCTTTTGGTGAGTCATCTATTTGTACATTGGATGTTTGAGCATTCATCTTCCTCAGTCGAGACGAACGCTATTGATAAACTGTCTGACGCAAGGAAGACTGGAAACAACACTTTCAACCCCACTTTCCTTGTTCACAGTTCACTATGCTCAGGTATACAGTCCTAACCCACGCGTGCCATATTGCAGCTAATCATATATCTAATAATCTATAGGCTTATCAAGAAATTGCGATTGGTGCTTGAGCGATTACATCTCCCGCGCAACTTCATTACATCGTCTCTCGCTGCTGTTTCTGCGCAGCAATATTTCACGCAAATCTATGGCCAGAGTCGGTTCAATGAAACCCCATTGCGTGTAAACACACCGACTTACCTAAGTTCCCATGCTCAGTACATATACTGTCGCTGATACTGAAAGGTAAGTTTTCAGTATTTTACCTTTTGGTGTAACGGGTATGCGTGTACGGAAGTCTAACAACTTACATTGCAACTAATTGCAGAAGCCCCGCAAATATTTTTTCCTGGCATCGGCTGGACTACTGTTAATTTTCGGCCATTTAAGTGGGTCGTCATTGCTTGTTGCCCCTGATGTGACCACTCATGGTATTCCAGCGTGCCTGTTGCGAGTACAGCCTTGGTTATTGTGCAGATTTATCTGTTGATATTTGCATATGTTTTATTGTAGAGTCATCCCAATGTTCCAATAACAGGTATTTTATGCTAGCCCTCTCACTGCCATTCCTATATGAAGTTCACCCCACACAGGTTGAAGCCGATGTGTCTTGACGAGCTCTCGTTCAGGACTTTCCTCCCACTTCAGATTTCGCTTTACTGTGCTATTGCTAACCTACGCACTGTGGGTTTTACATACGTTCTCGTAAGTTTGGCTTTTAGGCTTCTAATGAATGCAAAGTATGCGTGACAACATTTAGTGGCTGTTGCACACTGACCTCTTGGTATGTTTTCGGCTGCGGATGGTTTCTTTTTCGTGTGGATATATGTTTGCCTAGGCACGAGTGCGTTTGGACAGGCATCCAAGTTCATTCTCTTTCAAATTTACATGTTCTCTATTGTAAACCGTTCCCGCGACTTGTCTCTGCAGACCAGGATTTCACGCGCGATTTATCAGAACATTACCAACATCTCGAGTTCAATCATTCCACATGAACTAACTCGGATGCCTGCTTCCTTTCTGTACGCTAATTTTGGGCGTTCATACCGTACAATGAATCTATGGGTATCCGGGTGTGTAGCGTATCACTGACTGCACGGAAGTGTATCGAATGAGTCATGGGGATCTGGAATTTTAAAGCGGCTTTCGCGGGTTGCCACGTATGACGGGATGGTGTTGCACGCGGAGGGGCCATAGGCGTGGGCGATGTGTGCACCTCCCAACTTTGAGTGCCCTATCAGGATGAAGTGAACTCATCCAGGCCAGAAACATCGCTGCCTGCTCTGAGTTATGATTCGGCGTGCAAAGTCTTTGAAATAAAAAACTGCTAGGTATTGCTCTCATTGACGATAGTTATGTGAAGTACAAGTTTAGTATATGTGGTTCATGATGGTGCCAAATGAGTCCAATGTGGATAAGATTAGATCACATCCCATGCACACAGCTGCAGCACCGTGTGGCAGGTACGGCACTCAAGTTAATCAGGCACCAAACACATTCAACAATACCCGTCATCTCATTCTCCTCACCGTCGACGACAGCGTTTAATTACAGTTCGTCGACGTATCGCGTTCTTCAGAGACAGTTGTATACCATACTACTTGTATACCTGTATGTAAATTTGTATTTTCCTTCACATGGCACCTCCCAGGCGTAGGGTATCATATGTGATACCTCCACCCACGGACGATGTTCCACGGCTTAGGCTACCGCCACTTGGAGTCCTCCGCAATGGTTCAATACGCCCACTCGTCATACCCTCTCAGACACCGCTGGCTGACTCCAAGAGCATTTCGGAGAATTCTCATCCAAGGCATCGACTGGGCGTCATGTCCCTTGCGCTCGATACAACCACGCGTCTCGAAGGTCGGGACGCACCGGAAGGCATCCTCTATACTGGCGGGAGGGATGGATTAATCATATCATGGGATTTGGGACTTCCGTTTAGGCGGAGACATGATGGCAGGCACCGCAGGGACCGGTCAGACAGGTGGGAAATGTTGACGGGGATGGGAGATGAAACACTTGCTGAGGAGGCCGAGGAAGATGAGCGACGAGATGGCGATGTGCTAGGAGATGTAAAGGAGGGTGGGGGACGAAAACGAAGAGGCAGCACAACGGACCAGTTACCGTACGAACTTCAGTGGCAATTGGATACCGATGCGTTGACATCAGGATCGGTGAGACACAATACTTATTATGTCGCGTGTAACTGGAAATATCTCTTGTAGCCATCTAGATTCCGTCAGTGCGCGCAGACCCACACGGACTGGGTAAATGATCTCTTGCTCTGTAATTATAATCAGACAGGTAAGCACACAGAGTGCAGTGGCATATCAATGGGCTGACCACAAGCAGTTGTTTCTGCATCGTCTGATGGAACCATCAAGGCCTGGCATCCCCATGCCATTTCTCCCAGCGACCCCTCTGCAATAGGGTCTCACGCCGATTATGCACGCTGTCTTGCTCTTTGGTATGCATTTATTGAATATAACTGTTCATACTGACATGTACGTAGTCGTGAACAGAATTGGATAGCTTCTGGCTCATTTGACCGGACTATTAAACTCTGGGATCTCACCCGAGCATCGATAACGCCCGAACCATTCCTTACCCTTAACCCACCTGATGCTACCGCGCCCAAAGCCTCTGTATATGCAATTGCCTCCGACCCGTACGGTCACGCCATCGCAAGCGGATCTCCGGAACGCGTCGTCAGGATGTGGGACCCACGCTCAGGAAAGAGGACAGGGAAGCTGGTCGGCCACACGGACAATATCAGAGCCATTCTTATTTCAGAGGATGCGCGATATGTAAGTTGTGAATAATTCAACAATGTTCTGTTCTGATGAATTCGACCAGCTCCTCACAGGGTCTGCAGACGGTGTGTAGCTCATCGTGATCCTCCGAAGATGTTTCCTGAATATTTGTATTACTAGCATCCATCAAGCTATGGTCATTGTCGTCTCAGCGATGCTTACATACATTTGCATACCACACAGATTCTGTTTGGTCTCTGCATTCAACGCACCCCTCGCTGGAGGTGTTCTACTCTGGCGACAAGTCAGGTATGGTATGCAAAGTCGATGTGGAGGGATGCGCAGATGTTTCGGACGGTGCCTGCATTACCATTGCGCGGGAATCTTCTATTGAAGTCGGGGAAGGCATCAATAAAATCGTGACTGCGGATGACGGTCTTCTTTGGACCGCCTCCGGTAAATCGAGTATCAGTCGTTGGAGGCTGCCGAAACCCGCACCGAAACGAGTCTTAGATGAAGAGAGAGAAGTCATTGCTGATAGCTCTACTACTGCGATCTCGAAGAGACAAGTTTCCCATGGACGTGACTCTATACAGTGGTCCGCACCACCATCAATACATCAAGGTGCACTTGTAATTTTAAGTTAATGTTCAATACTGAGCTATCAACTAGTCCGTAGGGATGACGTGACAGCAGCCTACCCCGGTGTCCCGCTCGCATCTTTTGTACGACTCACCTCTCCTGATGGTCCTTTCTCCCCTTCTTCATTCACTTTGCGTGGACGCGATCCCGAGGTTGCAACATTATACTCTGCTGCGTCCATCGCCTCCGTTCCGGGGGGTCGTCCACCACTCCATGCTACCTTCCACCACGCTTCTACTCTCATGCCCCCAAACACTCTCCGGAGCATGAAAAGTGAGATCTCGATGGCGCCCTCCGATATTGATGCAGTGCATGACCATCGAACAGCATATGAAGCTCGAGAGTTCGCTGCCGATGCCGAGCCTTTAAACACAAACCCAGATGCGGTGATAGCAGGCTCTCCTGGCCTCGTGCGAGCTATCTTGCTGAACGATCGCATGCATGCGTTAACGGTAGATACGACCGGCGAGGTCGCTGTGTGGGACATTGTGCGAGGAGTTTGCAGAGGTTGGTTTGCTCGTGAGGAGGTGCGTGCTGCGAGTAGATGCTGCAGTACTTCCAGTAGTGGACCTCGTCATGACAACGGGAGTGTGACAGGGGGTGACAAAGAACGGAGTCCTCGTGAGGCACTGGAAGCAGTCCGAGAGCGCATTGAGGGTGATGCTGTCAGTTCGCCTTGGTCATCTGTGGACACAAAAACTGGTGTCCTCACTGTGCATATCAACGAGCGCTGTTTTGATTCCGAGATATATGCAGACGAAGCTGGCTTTGATCATGACAGGCATTTTAGCGATGAACTCCGGTGTAAGAATATCCTTCTTCGTGTTGACTGT